AGCCAGCCATCTTCCAACCCGTTGCTGGCCAAACATTTTTATACAAGTCACCTATGTTGTTGCATAAGTGTTTTATAGTGAGTGAGATTTAGAGAAGTCAGTCATTTCCCATGGTTCCAAAGCTAGGAAGAAGCATGGTGAAGTCGTGTGTGTGTGTGTGTGTGTATGTGTGTTGTACTTTGTTTTGAGACAAGCATTCTCTAAGTAATCTAGGCTGATGTCATTCTCAAGACACTTCTGTTACCTACCAAGTCCTAGAATTATAGGTGTGTACCACTATACCCAGCTCTAGTACTTTTGTTTGTTTGTTTTAAGAATCTCTCTACATAGCCATAGCTGGCCTGGAATTCTGCACATAGATCAGGTGGGCCTTGAAATTACAAAAATCTACGTGTCTCCACTTGCCAAGTGCTGGGATTAAAGGTGTGTGTCACCATGCCTGGCTCCAGCTTCAGTTTTAAATACCAGGTCAGTATATTTTGAACTGTTTAATACTTGATACAATGCTCATTGGGATGTAGTAGCCTCCTACACAAACAATGTACACAAGCAGTGTGCATACAAATAAATGTGCATCTTTTAACTGACACAAATCTAACAATATTTTACACTTACATAATACATATTTTACATATATGCATGTGTATGTGGTATATGTGTGTATACTTGTTTGTGGTGTGTGTGTGTGTGTGTGTCTGTGTGTGTGTGTGTGTCTGTGTCTGTATCTGTGCATGTATATGTGAAGTCTAGAAGTCACTGTTGGAATCCGGGTAATGGTGGTGGTGGTACTCACCTTTAATTCCAGCACTCAGGAGGCAGAGCAGGCAGATCTCTGAATTCAAGGATATTGTAGTCTACAGAGCCAGTTCTAGGACAGCCAGGTCTACAAAGAGAAATCCTGTCTTGAAAGAAAAGTGAGGGGAGGTAGTCAGTGTTGGGTATCTTTTTCATCATTTTCCACCTGACATTTTCTTTTTTCTTTTCTTTTTCAAAAAAGTTACAACTCTATGTTTTTGTAGCTTGTAATTTTGAAAACACTTCACTAAGTCATACTGCCTACCCACTTAGACATTTATTTAAAGGAATACGAGCTAGACCAAGTGGTGTAGGAGATTATTTTATCTCAACTATTTGGTATGCTGAGGCTAGAGGATTACATATCCAAGGCTTGCCTGTTTAATTTAGCAAGTCTGTATATAACAAACAAACAAATAAGAAAGGGGAGCCTTTAGATTCAAATTTCAGAACTAAGAGCAAAAATACACTTTTTCCATGGTGGACATGACACCAGATGTTACTGTTAATTCTCTGAAATTTGTCTTCAGAGTAACTTTGGTTAGATGTGATGTAACTAAAAGGTCCTGCAACTTTTATGAAACAAGATAAAAAATAAGTTTGTACAGTTCTAGTCAGATTAATGACCACACTTTTAAATTTCTTTGTTCTCACTGGCATTTTTGTTTCTCGTAAGTGATGTGAAGATGAATACATACATCTGCCTAAACAGATGCATGTCAGGCATGCTTTGAAACACTGTGGTTGGGTGCATTCTTCTAGCCCACTTCATGAGCTGTCTTAGCATTCTCAGTGTTTCTTTTGAATTTGACATTCTGAATCTGAGTAGTTCCATGTCCATGGAAACATTGATTGAGCTCTGGATCTGTTTGTAACTGTCTTTAGTAGAAGTTTGGAGAAGCAACATTCAACATAACAGTATGTTGTTCACAGTAATTTCTATTTTTTTAAGATTTATTTATTTATTTATTTAGGTATTTTATGTATATATGTTCTTGTCTGCTCTTGTCTGCATGTACATCTGCACACCAGAAAGAACGCATTGGCTCTCATGACAGTTATAAGGTGGTTGTGAGCCACCATGTGGGTGCTGGGAATTGAACTCAGGACCTCTGGAAGAGCAGCCTGTTCTATTATACACTGAGTCATCTCTCCAGCCCCTAAACAAGATTTATTCTTTGTTTGTTTGTTTGTTTTAACAAGGGTCACACATAAGGTACTTTGACCTGGAAATCATGTGCCCATTTAGGAGCTAGAGGATCCCATGCTGTCAGTGAGAAAGTCTGTTTCTTCTTTTTCTTTCTTTTGTTTTGTTTTGTTTTTTGTTGTTGTTTTTCCAGACATGGTTTCACTGTAGTTTTAGAGCCTGTCCAGAAGCTAGCTCTTGTAGACCAGACTGGCCTTGAACTCACAGAGATCTGCCTGCCTCTGCCTCCTGAGTGCTGGGATTAAAGGCATGCACCACCACCACCCGGGTCACAGTAATTTCTGACTACCGAAAAGTTTTTTTTTTTTTGGGAGTGGGGGGTTCGAGGCAGGGTTTCCCTGTGTAACTGTCCTAGCTGTCCTGGAACTACCTCTTGAAGACCAGGCTGGCCTCGAACTCACTGGGATTCACCTGCCTCTGCCTCCCTAGTGCTGGCATTAAAGGCGTGTGCCACCACCGCCTGACCCAGAAAAGTTTTTAAGATTGCTCCTAAGGTTTGCAAGACTGTACTAAAGACTATATAAATAAAGGCCACATGCAGGAATTTTTCCAGAATTTTATAGTTTTATTACATTTACTTTATTTCCTAAGCTTTTTTTTTCATCACCACCAGCCATTGTTTAGCATGGCTGCTACCTATAAGCTTTGAGCTGTCATAACCCCCCCCCCCTTTGCATGCTGTATGTAACTATGGGGCTAATGTCTTACTACTGGCTGCCATAGGTAACCAGCACCATTTTGAAAACAATTAGGAGTCGGGCGGTGGTGTTGCACGTGGTGGTGAGTTCAAGGCCAGCCTGGTCTACAAGAGCTAGTTCCAGGACAGGCTCCAAAGCTACAGAGAAACCCTGTCTCGAAAAATCAAAGAGAGAGAGAGAGAGAGAGAGAGAGAGAGAGAGAGAGAGAGAGAGAGCACAATTAGACACAATGGCACACACTTATAATCACAGCATTAAGTGTGGAAACAGAAAGATCAGGAGTTTAAAACCAGTCTCAGCTACATGACATCCTGTGTCAAAAACCAAAACAGTTTGCAGAATGAGGAATGGAGTTATAGTCAAAGAAACCCCTTCTTGAAAAAGAGAAAAAAGAAAGGAACATGACTTTGCTCAGTAAACCCAAGTTGAAGAGAGCCATCTAGAGCTGTCTAGTACCACATGTGTAGGGTGTGACTCTTTGTGGCAGTGGTTCCTTCTGGCTGTACTATCACTTGTCTTGCTGGTAGCTACTTACACTTCAGAATTTACCAGTTCCTCTCATAGAGACAGAGCTAGCAGATTCCAGAGCCTGTTTTTGAACTCAGAGGTCTAAAGTCTTGGCCTCATTCGTCCTGCCTCTGTTGTAGAGCTGTGTAAGCCAGATGTCCCCTTTGCTTGTTTCTGCCTATGCTGTGGGAGCCCAGCTGAGTGGTTTCCACACCATGCCATGTTTAGATATTTCTGAACTGTCTTTCCATCCTTGCTTCCTTCTCTTACTGTTAGGACATAGAATAAAGTGATAATTCTAGTAATGTTATTTAAATGCTTGATCACACTCCCCATTTCCTTTATTTCATTTTTTTTTTAAATAGCAAATTCAGGTCCTGGCAATCTTCAGTAATAACTAATGAGGCTTTTCATTTTTAATCTTAATGAGTATACTTGTTTTTATATTTAGAAAAAAACATTCGAGACAGGGTTTCTCTGTGTAGCTCTGACTGTCCTGGAACTCACTCTGTAGACCAGGCTAGCCTTGAACTTCACAGAGATCCACCTGCCTCTGCTGCCTCCCAAGCGCTGGGATTAAAGGTGTGCACTACCACCACCTGGCTTGTATTGAAATGTTTAAAGTTTGTTTTGTATACTGTGTTGTGACAGGATCGTGTGCTTGTGGTGGTGAGGAAACATTTGGTAGTTGGTTTGTCTATCTACTACAGGCTCAGGTAATCAGACTAGTGAGGCACATCACTGGCCATGTATTTGAAATGCTTTGTCCATTGCCTTTAGTATTCTTTTTGATGCATAGCTTGCTTTATCCTAGACTTATGAAAGAATTTCGTATTGTCTCATGTTTCCTTCTGAGAGGCCTCATGAGTAGTTTGGCTAGCACAACAAAGGTCACTTTGTATGTTTTCTACCTTGCACTTGGGATCAGAAAACTCCCCCAAAGTATTGCAGGTCCTGCATACAGGAGTTATTATTTAAAGTCCAGGCCCTATAAATACCAGTTTCACTGATAAATTAGAGTATTTTCTTTTTTATATTTATTTTTTTATTATGTATACAACATTCTGCCTCCCCATGTATGCCTGCAGGCCAGAAGAGGACACCAGATCTCATTACAGATGGTTGTGAGCCACCATGTTGTTGCTGGGAATTGAACTCAGGTCCTCTGAAAGAACAGTCAGTGCTCTTAACCACTGAGCCATCTCTCCAGCCCTAGAGTATTTTCTTTTCCCAGACAGTTTTTACCCACTGATGTTTTTGTAGATAACAAACTTCATTCAGTGTTTCAGATGCCTGCTATCATTAGGACCTCAGCTCTTCCTCAGCTACATCTTCTGAACTTTGGTCTTGACTTTAAAGTGCTTATTTGCCCATTTTCTTCACTCTGTTTTAGGAATAATACATGGAAGAACAGAGTTAATAGATTAAGAACACAAGCTAGGTGATGGCGGCGGCACATGCACACCTTTAATCCCAGCACTTTTGAGGCAGAGACAGGCAGATCTCTCTGAGTTTGAGGCCAGTTTGGTCTACAGAGCAAGTTCTAGGACAGCCAGGGCTACACAGAGAAACATCTTGAAAAAACAAAACAAAAAGAACTTTGTTAGCATTGAGTTGGAAAAACAACTCTTTCCCAAAAGCTAACAGATGAGGTTGTAGAAGACACTTCAGTGACTTGCCAGTTAGCATGAAATTGGTGGTATTTTTTATTTACTCAGAGCAGGGCTGAAGGTTTTAGGAACTGTGATCATAATCATATTGTTTCCACAGCGCTCTAACTTGTACATGTTCAGTTTCTGTTCCAGATGATCGAGCTGAACAACGAACTTGTCTTATTTGTGGGGATCGTGCTACAGGCTTGCACTATGGGATCATCTCCTGTGAGGGCTGCAAAGGCTTTTTCAAGAGAAGTATCTGCAACAAGCGTGTGTATCGGTGTAGTCGTGACAAGAACTGCGTCATGTCCCGTAAGCAGAGGAACAGGTGCCAGTACTGCCGCTTGCTCAAGTGTCTCCAGATGGGCATGAACAGGAAGGGTAAGCTGGTTCTTAGGGCTCTCTTTGCTACCCTTTGTCTGTCCCCTCATCTGCAACTATTAAACTTGCTGGTTATTTTTTCTGTATGCATGCACTATATATAGTTCACCAACTTTTTCAGGGACTAGTGACAGGAATTTAATTGTAAAGGCATGAAGTAGGACTTGATGTCCTTTTGCTAGAAACATGGCATACTCAGACACAAAGTTTATTTAGAAGTTTTGTCTAGGGCGGTAAAGAGTTTGACATTTATTGAGAAGGTTTCTGGGAGCTCTTACCCTAAAGCGACATGAATAAACTGAGTCTATGGAGCTTTGAAAGTTGAGTAGAGGAAACCAACTAGGAAGTTGTTAGAAATGCCCAGAAGGGCCCTGGAGAGAGTGGGCACTGCTCCTATGCACAGAGGAACCCGTGGAACTCAGAAAAGGGCATCAGATCCTGTGCAACTAGAGTTACAGACATTTGTGAGCCACCATGTGGGTGCTGGGAACCAAACCTAGAATTGAACCCAGATCCTCTTCAAAACCAGCAGTGCTGATGACCACTGAGCCATCTCTCTAGGTCTCTAATGATTTATTTTTAAGGAGTTAGAAATGATGATGAAAAGCCAAACTTGGGGAGAGGAGGTAAAAATGAAGGATATTTGAGAGCTTTACTATTGAAAGGTGAGAGGGGCCTGGTAAGATGGCTCAGGAGGTAAAGGTGCCTGGCACCAAGCCCGACGACCTGTGTTCAGTTACTGCAACCCGTATGCTGGAAGGAAGGAGCGAATCAACTCCTGACAGTTGTCCTCTGACCTCCACAGGTGTGCTGTGACATGTACACCCCACCATATACACGCATGCAATAAATAAGAAAGAAAGAAAGAAAGAAAGAAAGAAAGAAAGAAAGAAAGAAAGAAAGAAAGAAAG